TCTTTCTTTCTTTCTTTCTTTCTTTCTTTCTTTCTTTCTTTCTTTCTTTCTTTCTTTCTTTCTTTCTCTCTCTCTCTCTCTCTGTCTCCCTCCCTCCCTTCCTTCCTTCCCTCCTTCCTTCCTTCCTTCCTTCCTCCCTCCCTCCCTCCCTTCCCTTCCCTTCCCTTCCCTTCCCTTCCTTGTCTTCCTTTCCTTCCTTCCTTCCTTCCTTCCTTCCTTCCTTCCTTCCTTGTCTTGATTTTATACACACACATATATATTTTGTTGGGAAATAGGCATAACAATCTCAACCCGTCTCGGGCGCGCTTTGTTTCATTTGTAAGGCGCGTCTCCTCCTTTTTCGTATATTCAGAATCGCCCCTTTCTCCTCTCTGCTTCAGAGCCCTTCTAAGCATCGGCACCGGGGCAGAACAGGGGGCATGAATGTCCCTCCGCGAGGCGAGGTGGAGGCCGGGTTTTGGCTCGGCGGCGGGCGGCGTGTTCCGCCGGCCTCTGGCCCTCACCCCGACTGCCTGTCGTTGGCCTCCGTCGGCCTCTGAAGCCTCGCGGCCCGCGGCAGGCGACACGTCGGCGTTCCAGGCCATCCTGTCCCCGGGAATGTGGCTTTGGGATGAGGCGGTCCCCCGCCTCGTCCTCCGGCTTCTGGGCCGGGTTCTAGGCGCGACCTGCGTCTCGGGAGCGGCGACCTCTAGAGCCGCCGCCGCCGCCGCCCAGGTGGACGGAGAGGGCGCCCTGGCCACCGGCTGCCGCGGAGCCCCAACGCTGGGTGCGTCCCAACCGGGGTGTGTGTGTTTGTGTGTGTTTGTGTGTCCGGAAAAAACCAAGAGATCTCGCGTCGCCTTTGCAGGTTGTTGAAAAATGATCTGTTTGTATGTCGGCGGAGTCCCCCTCGCCCGCAACACCCCCCCCCCCCGCCGGGGGCACTGCCTCTTTGAACTTACTGGAAACTCGCATGGTCCCCGCGATCGATTCCGGCCCCTTCTGCGCAAATAGAGTGTCTCCTCCCCCCCGCCCCCGGCTCTGGGGCCGGCCGGCGACGCTCCGCAGGCCCCGATCGTGGCGGGCGCGTCGCACACAAATTCCCTCCGTCTCTTTCTCCCCCCCCCCTTTGTGTTCGGTGTCACGGCGTCAGCAGAGCCCAAAGGGGGTTTCAGATCGTGTTCCTCAGCGGGCGAGGGCACGGGGGGGGCGCACCCCACCTTGCCCCGGGCGCGGGGGGTGGTGGCGTTGAGCGGCCCGGCTTCCTCCCCACCTCTCTCTGCCTTTCCTTCATCTCTCTGGGTCACCGTTTGCAGATGTTGCCTCTAAAGTTACAAGCAGGCCATTTCTCCCGCACCTCCTGCCTGAATAATTCAAAGCACCTTTGATAACTCGCATTACAGAGTATTAAAAGGCAACAGATGCAAAAAAGATTAAAGGATTAATAATTCAGATTATTTGCACCTGCGTCTCCCGCCCCGCACACGACAGGCTGCGCTTCGAATTCACCTCGGTCAGGTGGAGCCGTTCGCCTCCTCTGCCTCCTCCTCTTGGCGGGGAAGGCGCCCGGTCGGCCGCCGGCTCCTCCAGGGAGCCGAGATCTCTCGCGCTCAGGGAAGCACAAAGGGAATCCGCGGTTCCGAGGACGGGCCGAATAAGTGGGACAGGGCGCGCCACGGGTTCCGCATGTCAGAGCGCACAGATCCGGCCACGGAACTATTTTCAAATTCCATCATTGACAAATTTTACCTCCGTTTTGTAAAACAGAGCGTCAATCGGGCACAAAGATATCTATACGCAGTTATATAGAAATGTGCTCCGAAATATTTTTTTTTAGAACCATGGGAAATGTTGCTTAGAAAATAACAATTTTATCAACGTAAAAGGTATTCAGATTATTTCTGGCGTATTTCTAATATTTTCCTATCTCAAAATACATGTAAATCCTAACACATTCAATTTCTTTCTTTCTTTCTTTCTTTCTTTCTTTCTTTCTTTCTTTCTTTCTTTCTTTCTTTCTTTCTTGATTATTTTTACGCTTAAAAGTTACAGATGTTAAAAGTTACAAATTATTAATTTCCTTGCTCGGTGGGATCATCGCCTTCTTCTCCAGTTTCATTTTATGTTAAAGAGAAATCCATAAGCGGATTCCCTCTTTGCATTTTTTAACTGTAAAAGAGCAAAAGTCGATCGAAAAAAATTAAGAGCGCGGTGAATCCTGCTTGTTTCACCTTTCTTGCTTAAAGCGGCCAGGTTTGGACCGAAAGGACAATCCAGGCCACGGAGGGGAGAGTCTAGCCGGATCAGTCACATTCCCCCAACCAAAAAACAAAGCCCCAAAACCCGAACCAGGAGAAACGGAGCTGGGCCCGGCGGAGGCAGGGGGCGGAAGGGTCTTGGGAGCCCTTCTTCCGAACGGATCCCCTCTGCGGGCGAGACGGCATTTCGGCTCTTTCCCGGAGAGGCGTGTGCGTGTGTGTGTGTGGGGGGGGATCATGGAGCCCAGCTTGGCTCCCCAGGAGCGACGGCTGGCCCTCTCGCTCTCTCGCTCTCTCCCTCCCCCTCCTGCGTTCGGCCAGGGAGGTTTTATCCTGCTCGTCTCGGCCGTCGGTCGCCTTCTGCAAAGGCCAGGAGCGGGCCCGGCCGCCCGATGGGGAAGCGGACTCCCTGGTCCGAGAGAGTTTCCGGCCGACTCGGTCTTCCCGCTCGGAAGACCTCGGCGGCTCTGGCGGGGCCCTTCCCTTCTCCCGGTGGGCCCAGCAGAAGCGGGCCGGGGTGGGTGTGGGTGTGGGGCCGGGGTGTGGGTGGGGGCCCCCCGAGCTGGCGGCGGCGCGGCGGGGCTCTCCGGTGAGGCTGCGGCCGATACTCACGGTGCATCGCGGAGAAGGGGTCCGCCTTGCAGTGCATATCCATGGGGAGGCAGAGGAAGGGGAAGAAGTCGGCGGACGCCGCCGTGTCGCCTCGCCGGTCCAACTTCAGCACTTGGGGGAGAATCAGGTCGCGGGGCGGGGGGCGCCGGGAAGGGATGAGGCTGCGGCCGATACTCACGGTGCATCGCGGAGAAGGGGTCCGCCTTGCAGTGCATATCCATGGGGAGGCAGAGGAAGGGGAAGAAGTCGGCGGACGCCGCCGTGTCGCCTCGCCGGTCCAACTTCAGCACTTGGGGGAGAATCAGGTCGCGGGGCGGGCGCCGCAGGAAGCGGCGGGAGGCAGCCAGGCGGGCGGGCGAGGTGGGGCCGGCGGGCCTCGACCGGCGCCCCCCTGCCCGGCCCAGCG